ACAAAAATTGTAAAACCACATTTAAAAAGTCATTTTCACTGAGGACAGCCCAGACTTTAATACGGCCATGCTTATCATATTGGCATGTGTTTTCGTAATCATCTTGAAAGGCCACATGGTTTTGTAGTGTTAAATGTAGCAGCCTGCTGACACCTTTTCAGACTAACCCATTTTATTAAAAAAAACCAGGCGCTTTCATGAATGACATCTCCATTCACCCAGGCCATGGCTCCACAGACGCAGGATTTAAATTGGGCAGGGGAGGTGTTTGTTGGGGAGGGGGAGACCCAGAAGTCAGGATGGTGATGCAAATGCAGGTTGCAGAGCACAAGCACCTTATCAGTAACAATTATGATGTGTTAAAAACCCTTTGAGTTCATCTTCAGAGATAGTCCAGAATCTCTTGATGTGAGAATTCAGATATTCCACTCCCAATGATGCTGTTAAAATCTTGTTTTTGCAAAATGATTACTCTACCACAAAGCGTCACAGAATCGTCGATATTGCTCTCTCCTTGTTTTGAGATGTCACTGTAAGACCTGTAGGTGGATAAAGTCCTGAAAATGCTGGGTGACAATGGACTATTTGTCATGTCGTTTGCAGTGCAGATCAGAGGGCTGCCTTATTACTGGGATCAAAGAACCCCAGAGGCAGGTTTGCCAGCTTATGCTTCTCCTAATGGTGCCCCACGCAAGAGAATGGCGAAAGCTTCCTGTTCCTCCAGAAATAAGATTTCAAAGGATGAATTTTGGAGTGGATCTGTGACTCCACCTGCATTTTCAGAGTACAAAGGCAATGGCAAGGCCAGGTGGGGGGCAGGGAAGGCAACTCTGTGTAGGTATTTCTTTCAGGTGCTTTTAGGCCGCTTCAGTCAAAACCTCTAACATGGAATACAGAATACAGAAAGAGTGCTGGCTTTGGAGGGATGGCCATCGACTTGTGGGGACCTAGAGGAGAAAGAGTCATCCAAAGACTAAAAGCAGCAATGTCCCAAAGATGCAGCCGAAATGACCCTTCAGGCGAGCTCCTTGACTTGCAAGATGTATCTCAACCTTATATCATTTCTGCTGCTGTTCTTTTTTTTTAATATTAGTGTCACAAAATAAATGTTAAGGTCAATGAGCGGTTTTTGCACTGGATGCAAGAGTGAGGTGGAAGTGATTGGAGGAGGGACGTAACATTTGGTGGCAGCCAAATACATTGTGTTGATACTGAAGGATCTGGCCAGGAAAGGAAATGGCAGTGTTTTGCCTCCATTGTGTAGCATCCGAGGGCAAACAAGGCCTATCAGCAATGCCATTTGATTATTCAGCTTTCGTGATAATGACAGGGAGCCCTTTGCATTGATGGCCGGGGGGGGGGGATGGCTCTGGGCAGAGGTTTATCCTCTGGGCAGCCTTTGCTTAGACAGGCTGGAGTTACTCCTGTCAGCCCCTCCCTGGTTTCCGGGCAGGGAGTCAGCGTCCACTTGGCCTCTACTGCTTGGGACTGAGGGAGGGGAAGGTGTTCCTGGAATGGAGAAGGCAAGCTCGGCCAGCAGTGGCCTGGGTGCTTTTGAGGAGGGGCATATGATCAATATTTTGTACACTACCCAGAGTCCTTTGGGATTTGGGCCATTATAAATAAATAAATAAAGAAACAAAATGGTCCCTTCTGATGGAGAACTCCAGGTCTCCTTGCCACTTTTTTTTAGCAAACTGCTTCTGGTTCCCCTACCAGCTGGGTAAGATCTGAAGATGAGCAGCTCCTCTGAGTCTCTCTTGGAGAAGGTGCTTGTCTGGCCAAAAGGTCCTCCCTGAGGACTGCTGGCTGATCTCCTGGCTTTGGGGAGAAGTCCTTCGCTCTCCCTGCCCTCACGAGGTTCCTCCTCCCTTTCACCATTCGAGGCCCAGGTTGCTTTTCCACTGCATGAGTGTTTCCTTCAATTGTTGGTTTAATCTTAGAGGTTTCAGACTTTAAATTAAGAGCTGCCTGGCTCACTAAAATGCCACCTGTTAAGCATAAATGGTTTAAGAAATTATTTAACTTCTTTCTCAGCCACAAAAATCATGAGAAGTAAAGACAGGGAGGCCCTCAGGTAGCACCCAGGGCCTCCTCCAAAGCTTGTGATACTGTCAGCCCTTCAAGCTAGACAGGAGTGGGAAGCCAAAGGGAGGCAGGATAATCCTTCTTTAAGATTATAATAACAGAATCTTGCAAGTCTAAATATTGCTCCCCCCCCCCTCTCTCACACACACACCCTTGATGAGAACTGGGGGCGGGGGGGCTGAGACACTAACTCAGGTTACAGTTCAGTCACAGCAATGACGTCCTTTGCCTCTGCAGTCTCTCTGGGATAATCAACTGCCTGTCTGAGTGGGCCCATGTGTGCTTGGTGCTGTGTTTTCCAGGAGTGCTTTGGGGCAGCCGTTGTAAAACTGGCTTCTGCAGAAGATTATAGTACCTATAATGCCTCAAATCCTCAACACATTCCCCCTCCTCAGTTGGAAAGGCTTCTTTGGAGTGGGGCTGGCTCCCTTGAGGGGGCTGTCCAGGTGGGGGGTACTCCGTGTCTTGTGGAACAGCTTTCCCCCTCCTGGGGGTTCAACTCCCACTTGCTAGCTATGTTATTGGGATAGAATATATGTCAGATTTCTTGCTGATTCCTCCTGGGCATTGCCTTTTGGGCAGAAATTGGATAACATTCACAATGCCCTCAGTTCAAAGGGTTTGGTTTAATTTCCCCCTGGTTAGCCTCACCTTGCCTCTTGGGGAAAAGAGTTGCTCTTGCCAAGGGGAAAAAAAGGAACTCAGGAAACTATGGACTAATCAGCCTGACATCAGTACCTGAGAAAATCCTGGAAAAGATAATCAAGCAGCAAATTTGTGGACACCTAGAAATGAATAAGGCGATAACCTAGAAGCCGGCATTGTTAGAAATAAATCATGCCAGACAAATTCTATTGCCTTCTTTGAGAAAGTGACTAAATTAGTGGATCAGTGGACATTATATACTTGGACTTGAAATATCCCTACTTCTTGGTAAGATAGAACAACATGGGATAGACAGCATCACCCCAGATGGATTTGCAGTTGGCTGACCAGCCACACACAGTGTATAATTCTCAATGGAACTACTACTACATAGAAGGAAGCATGCAGCGGGTACCCCAAGGTTATGTCTTGGGCTTGTGCTCTTCATCATCTTTACAAATAATTTAGACAAGGGAGGGGAACTCATCAAATTCTTCGAACACCAAACCAGAGGGAATGGCCAACACTTTAGAAGATAGACTTCATATTCAGAAGGATCTTGACAGACTTGAACGTTTGGGTCTATCCAACAAGATGTAGTTCACTGTTGAGAAAAGTAAGGTCCTGCACATAGTCAGGAAAAACCAATTGCACAGCTATAGAAAAGGCAATCCCTGGCCCAACACTAGTAACTATGAGAGAGATATAGATGTCCTATTGGATGACCACTTAAGTCTGAGCCAGCTGCCAAAATACCAATTTAGTTCTAGGATGCATCAGCAGAGGGACAGTATCAACATCATGTGAAAGGATAGCTTTGCTTCACTTTACACTTGTAAGACCATACTTGGAATATTGGGGCTAGTTCTGGTCATAATGATACAAAAAAGATGCTGGGATTCTAGAAAGAGTGAGAAGAGCAGTAAAGATGATAGGTGATGTGGAGGTTAAATTGTACAATGAACAGCTGAAGGAACTAAGTATGCCTAGCCTAACAAAGAAAAGGATTAGGAGTGATATAGCAGCCTTCCAATATTTGAGAGACTGCCAAAAAGGGGGGGGGGTCAACTTATTTTCCAAAGGACCTGAAGGCAGGAGAAGAAGCAATGGATGGAAGCTTATCAAGGAGAGAACCAACCTGGAATCAAATGTCTTAACAGTGAGAATAATCAACCAGTGGAATGGCTTGCCTTCAGAAGTTGTGGTACTCCATCACTGCAGGCTTTTAAGAAGACACTGGACATCCTCTTGTCTGGAATGTACTAGATGACCTCCAAAATCTCTTTCAACCCTGTTATTCTTTGTTCCATATCCTCACACAAATGAGCCATTGCTCTGTTTTGTCATCCCACGTGTGATCTGTCAGGTGTTTGTGGCTTCTAGGAGATCCAGAATTGTGGAGCTGAAACTTTGAGAGGCTTCTCCATTCCCTTTCTTCCCAAATTGTTTGGCTTTTTCACATGTGTGAAGAATTTTGGAGAAGAACTCAATAATGCATTTTTAGCTTTTGACCAAGTGATATGTTTATAACATCTGGAAGAGTGGAAAGCAGGATGTGTGAAACTATGGTAAAGTGGGTGGGTATTTCTGGATCTCTAGAGCAGTGGAGGGGTAGTAATTGTGTAGAGTAATAAACTAGGGTAGAACAGAGAATTGACCTGTGCTTGGGGCGAAGGGGAATGCTTGTGCAGAAAGTACAGTGTGTGTCCTGGACTTTCCAGGTGTGCTTTTGGCATTGAGATTGTAGCATCAATCCTAAATGGATAGAACCGGATTCCTGTTGATGTTATGTCACTGAGCTTCTTTCGGGTTTTACTACATTGAGTCCTTTCTCCATTAGTGAAATTTGCCCCACAAAAACCTTTAATTTCCAACATCAAATCTATTGTGTCAATTTCCAAAGTTTCCTTGATTAGTCAGTTGGATCCTTCGATGCAGAATCTGTTGGTGTTTGTTTGCAGACTGCAGCTTGCTGGAGGGAGAAGATGTTGGCCAGCAGCTCCCACAGATGCTTATTGGTTGCATGGTTTGATGGTAGAATGTTGGATTTAGACTCAGGAAATCTGGATTCAAACTCTTCTAGAGCTATGAAGTTCACTTGAGACAGAATTTCCCCGTCTATTCTTTAAAAAACCTCACAGACTGTTTAAGGATAAAATTAGCAGCCAGGGAAATTACATCTTACCTCGAGTCCTTAATCAGGTAAAGATTTTGCGAATATTTATAATGGAATTCATTTGCCTTTTTCCCTCTTCCCATCTTCTCAGCAATTCCAGAAGGAGCAAGTTGACCCCCTTCAGTTAAAGCTGCAGCAGGTTAATGGGCTTGGACAAGGGCTTGTCCAGAGTGCAGGGAAGAACTGTGATGTCCAGGGCTTGGAGCATGACATGGAGGAGATCAACACCCGATGGAATACCCTCAACAAAAAGGTAAGCGCTGCGTGGGCACTTCCTAGCAAACGCTCCCAAATGTGAACTGAATGGGATCCCAAGGTCTGGACTGACCTCCAAATGCTGCTGAGTTCCCTGGTGGAAACAGGGCTGGGTTTGGTCGGGGAATAGCCTGTCGATGGTCCACTGGGTTGTATGCAGAGTAGTACCTGACAAGAGTCCTTGTCTGTGAAAACTCTGGCTCCCTCTGTGGTACAAACTCTGTGTTTGAAGTGCCCATTTGCCACTAGAAGAGGTCCTCTGGGTTGGGAGCCCCTGGCTGTAAATGCTGATCAATCCAGAGCAAGAGCTGAGAACTGAGCCTACATTTCTCTGTTGAGGATCCACTGACAAACCCACTTGTTCTGTTTTTGCTTCATTTTTAATGTGCTTGTTCGCAATTCTAGTCAGTGACCATAATAAAAGTATCCATTCATCTCTCTGCTTGGCTGCATCCCTGTTCTAGCCACTGGCCTACTAGAAAACTGGGACCAGCACATGTGTCTACCCCCTCCCCCTCTCTCCAACAGACCTCTGGGTGCAGTTCTCAACTCTGTCTGGAGGAGGATGTAAAAAAAAGGACTTCATATCCCAAGGAGCCTTCAGTGTATACATTGAATACATTGGGGAAAGGGTTGCCAAGCAAGAAAGAGAAAGGGGGAGAGGGGCAACTTAAAAAGGAAGACGTAAGCCACTGAAATCCCATTTAATTGGATGCCTGGCTAGCAAGGGCAGCCACTCTAGTGACAGGGGGGCATGTTTTGTCAAAATGCAGGTGGCCCAGAGGGTTGCCCAACTGCAGGAAGCCCTGCTCCATTGTGGGAAGTTCCAGGACGCCTTGGAGCCTTTGCTCAGCTGGTTGACTGACACGGAGGAGCTCATCTCCAACCAGAAGCCGCCATCTGCTGAATACAAAGTGGTGAAGGCTCAAATCCAGGAGCAGAAGGTGAGCAGATCTAAAGCAATGTAACTATAATCACAGGAGGGGAAGGGGAGTTTAGTCATTGCATTCACATTTCCTGCAGCTGGGAGATTGGCAAAAGGGGAATTCCTGAAAAAAATGGGGATAGTAGTGTAATGTTTATTCGGTCAATAATGAGCAGAATTTTAAAATATACAACATGTAAATCGGTAAAGTGGGTGAGATAAAATACCAACATAGCAAGGTATCTCTATAATAAAAGTATAACATTACTACTATGATGATACGTTCATTAGTTGTGCAAGTGGAAGAAATTGGTAAATGCTCCTTCTCTTGACCTTATGCAAAGTTGCTGCAACGTCTCCTGGACGATCGGAAAGCTACTGTTGAGATGATCCAAGCGGAGGGTGGCAGAATCGCCCGCTCGGCTGAACCAGCAGACAGGGAGAAAATCGTCGGCCAGTTGAATAGCCTGGGAAGCCACTGGGCAAGCCTTCTTAGCAAAGCTTCAGCCAGGTAAGATTGGAAACACGGGACACCATCAAGCGCTTCTCATTCTGCCGTCATCCTGTGCAGCATACATGGATTTTATTTTTCTCCTGCTGTTTTGTTCCTGAAAGACCTCTGCACAGCACTTGGGGAATTTGCAAGGATGCTGTGAAAGGCATTCTTTTCATCCTAATGTTCTGCAGAATCTCCTTGGATTTCTTGGCCACTCTTCTTCCCACACTGTGAAATGTTGCAGCTGCGTGTATCAAGTGAGACTGAAGCCTGCTCTTTTATAACCGTTGTTCTGGTTTACTTCAGTGAGGCCGTGAGAAGAGCCCTCGGTGGATTTTGACCTGCGGGGACATCTTTCATGCTACTCAGATTTTGACATCTTGCTTTGCTTCTGTTTTGTTTGGCATTGAGGGCAGAAGTTTCCCCCCGAATAAGATGTTACCTCAAACATAAAGAAACTTTGCTTGTTATTTGAAGCCAGGGCACAGACCTAGGAAGCACTCTAGAGAGAAGGAAGCCCATTCCATTTAGAGAACTCCCACCGTTCTTTTCTCCCTTCCTAGCAAGGGAGATGGAAAGCTCCCAGTGCAGGTCTGGTGTGTAAAAGACCTGTAAGATCCAGAGGATTTATCAAGGACTTCAGAGAGCCACTCTGTGCAATAGCTGCAGAAAGGGCCCTTCAGATGAGCCAGCCAACTGTGTCCCCTCCTTGCATTTCCTAGCATGGTCTAAGCCGTGTGCAGTATAAAGTGTTAGATGCGTCTTTCTGTTTAGTTGACTCAACAGGCTTAGCTTGACTTTTGCAGAATATACCTGTGATTCTGTCACAAGCAGACAGCACGACACCAGCCACGTCGGTTACTAAAACAAGAGACAGGTCTAAATTGTTGCTTCCAGCCGAAAAGGACGATCTCTTTGCTTTATGTTGTGTGGAGGTGCAAGAAACAGCACCTTCATTTTGCTACGTCTAAGTCATGCATTTCTCTGTAGTCACTGACTTCTTCTTTAGCTTTTCTACAATAATCCAGTTCATTCTTGGAAATATATACTTGCATTTTATTGCCTACCCACCCAGCCAAGAGGCCTGATAGTACTGACCTATCAAGTAATCATATGGGCTGGTGGAGACATAAAAGGACAAAACCTTCCAGGAATATGAAATCGTGATTCCTGAGAATCCTGCCCTGTGTCAGGTGCTGTGATGTGGCCATGAAGCATAAGAGCAGGAAGTCTGAGCAACTCTGGAGCAGTTTAAGAATGAAAACGGTTGAGCTCATCCTAATAAGACTTACACTGTGGTGAGCAGGCAGGTGCTGGCCTAGAAATTGGTCTTTGTGTGTGTGTGTCTGTCTGTTAGAGGTGGTATTCAGCCAGTTCTGACAGGTTCTGGAGAACCGGTAGTGGACATTTTGAGTAGTTTGGAGAACCAGCAAATAGGCTGGTCCCGCCCCACTTCCTCCCAGCCCCCCAGCTGATCTTCTTTTCAAGAGAACGGAGCTGGAAAGCAGGTTAGTCTGGTGGGGAGGAAATGGGGATTTTGCGGTAACCTTCCCCTGCCACACCCACAAAGCCACACCCACAAAGCCATGCCACGCTCACAGAACCAGAAGTCAAAAATTTTGAATTCCACCACTGGTGGGTGTGTGGGTGTATCTAGTCCCACCTTAGGCATGAAAGCCAACTGGGTGACTTTGGGACAGTTGCGCTTTCTCAATCCTCCCCTATTTACAAGGTCCTTACTGTGGGAAACACAGGAGGAGGAAGGAGTGTTAGGAATGTTTGCTGTCTTGAGTTATTTATCCGTTTATGCATTCGTAAGTGAAATAACTCAGATTCCTGCTGATGTGAAGCTGTCTTGGGTAGCATTGTGGTTGGATATCCAGCACACTGTTTAGTAACTTCTGCATGGATAATTTCATTGGTTGATTCTTGAGGAAATGAATGGGCTTCTTCTGTCTGTTTGCCGTAAGAGACTCTGCCTAAGGGACTCTGCTTTGCCAGGAATTTCAGAGGCCATGATGCCTCTGTGGAGCAGGCAGAGTTCAGAGGTTCTTCCCTTGAACTGGCCAGGTTTAACTGCTGCCAGTTGGGGACCAGTCTGTTTCTTTCTCCAGGTGCTGAAGTCAAGGCTGCTGTAGCTTCAGGAACTCTTGGAGGAGACAGAAGATCCAGAGTTGCTCCAGACTCTGACTTAGACCTGGCTGTAGGACAGAGTTGGTCTTGGATCACTCAGGTGGAGACCTAGGCACAGGAGCAGAGAAATGAAATCCTGTTAATGCTTCCAGGTCTCTCCGCAGTTGGTGATTTCTTCCGAAACTCTTGGAGGAACTGGAAGTTGGTTTCAGTCCATCTTTTCTCTGGGTGGCCCCAGACTTTGTCTTGGATACTTGGTGATGTATCTTCGGGTCCCACAACATTCCCCCCTTCCCCATTTACCATGCTGGGAAGGGGCACACATGGGTTTGGAAGTAACGGTTAGCAATGCACTGCTGATGATAGGCAGCTGTCATTCTTTTTGCCTTCGAGCTCCTCGGAGAGGCTGCCCATTTTTTGGCCACAAAGGATCAGATGGGCGAACTGAGTGAAGCAACTGAGTCGGACCAGATAACAGTTCTGATGTGGGGGCTTTTGGACACGTGCCTGATCCAGAGATGGAGGCATTCCCCTGGAGACCTGGCTCATGCTTGGGTGGTCTCATGGCTCTGACTGTGAGGCTGGGCAGCGGTGATGGGTGTAGGTGGGCTTTTGCTGAAAGGCAAGGGAGGACAGAGCTTGATGGGGTGGTCTCAAAACCTAAAGAAGCTCAGAGAGTGGCAGCAAGTGCCATGTGATGCTTCCAGAGATGGTGTTCACCGGTCGTTAGTAGTTTCTGGCTCAGAGTCATTTGCCTCAGGAAGCCTCTGGGGATTTCAGCCCAGGTGACCTGTGGACCAGCTAAGGCCACCTCATCATCCTCACCTCCTTCACATTTCTATGCGGGACCTTTCTGCCAATCTGCTTCTGAGCCATTTCTGCCTTTTCCAGAATGGGGCCTAGACATCCTCCAGAATAATTGGCTTCTCAGTCTGAAGTTGCCCATTTCCTTTGACGGTTCAGGAGAAGCTGGGCAATGCTTCTTTTTGCCAGGGATTTTAGAGATTTACAGCAAGCTCCACACTCAACCATGTGTCCTCAAGCAAATTCAGCCTCCAAATATCCCAGTTCAGAAATCCAGCCCAGGGCAAGGGAGGGGGGCTGCACGTGCTTTGCTGGCAGAAACCCATTAAGGAGAGCCGGGCAGGACATCCCCAGCTGAGGGGGGCAGGGGAGTTTCCAGCAAGTCCAACAGTAGCTGCCCTTTCCCAGGACTTGCCAATCCTGAACCCACAGGTGATCAATTTCACTGGTTGGAGAGAGAGTCTGTCATGCCATGAATTCTTTCACTCCGCCCCCTTCCTCCTCCACAGGGCCCTTCATGTGTAATGGACTTTAAAAGGTTGGCCAGTTATCCTACCCCTGGAAGTTGGGGATTTGAATCCAGCCCTTCCGGAGGGTAGTAGATTAGGGACAGGGTTGCATGCAGCCTCCCCCAGAGGGACAGATTCCTAGTCGCCTTGTTGCTCTGTGTGCCCTTCATGGTCGGTTTTCCAACTCTGCAGCACCAGTTTCTGGAAAGGCCAAGCAAACAGAGGTGGCATTTCATGTCACACAGCTTTGTAAAGGTTACAACAATAGCAGCTTTAGTTTCATCAAGGTAGAGTTTGCTTCTCTCATAGCTCCCTGCAAACTCCAGTTTGCAGTTATCCAACACAGAGCTAAGATTGCCAAGCTGGGGGGTTCTTGCTAATTTGGGTCCCAACTGTCTGCTGTGTGTGGTTAAGATCTGCACCCCTGGTGGGGGGACCCTTAATTTGAATGGCTTCTGTTAACCCAGATATCTAGCTTGGAGGGGGGGATTTGTTTGCAAATCTTTGGAGTTTTCGCATTCTAAATAATTTTGCTGTCCTCCTCCAACTCTGCATTTTTACAGCTAACCAGATAATTCCTCACAGTGATCTACCCTCTTTCTGAGACGGGTTCAGCTTGCTTCCCTCTAATATCAGTTCCCACGCTCCATTTCCTGCTCTGTAGCCATTTCCTGCTATTTATCCTACAATTTTATTTCTCCTTTGCGTATTCATGTCTGTTCTCTTGGCTAGGTTGCATCACTGAAAGGACTCCAGAAGACAAAGCAGCAAAATGTGTTGTTGTGGCAGCACCTCAAAATACTGGAATACTGCTCTTATTTCCCCCCCCCCCCGTAGGTTCCTTCTATTCTCTAACCAAACCCAAATCCTGCAACCATTGTTCTTCTTATGTTTTTGTCTCCAGGCCTTTAATCATCTTGCTCTTCTTTGCACTTTTTCGAAAGTCTCAACATCTTTTTTGTAATGTGGTGACCAAAACTGGATGCAATATTCCAGGTGTGGCCTTACTAAGGCTTTATAAAGCGGTACAAATACTTCACATGATTTTGATTCTATGCCTCTGTTTATACTACCAAGGATTGCATTAACTTTTTTGGCTGCTGCCACACACTACTGGCTCCTGTTTAAGGGATCGTCCACTAGGACTCCAAAGTCCCTCTCACAGTGACTGTTTTTGAGCCAGGTTTTGCCTAATCTGTACTTACACCTTTGATTTTTTTCCTGCCTAAATGTAAAGTTTTGCTTTTCTCCACATTAAAATTAATTTTGTTGGAAAATTATGTAAATAGGGAGGGCATCCACCCTCCCCGCCATCTTGTTAGAGTGATCCTAGGACCTCTTATGCTCATCAACTCCAAAAGTAGTATATCCCTGGCTTAATAGCTCTATCTTTAATTATGCTTTCCAGGTCCAGCCCTTCAAAGTAGGCCAGGTGGGGGATGAGACATCAAAAAACTGCTAGGCTCTTCATTATTATCACAGGATACAATAATAGAATCTTGAAAGGCTGTCAGAAGATCTTTCCATTCCTTCTTATACTGAACAGAATCAATTATCTTGAGTTTCCTTCTTACCCTTCTTTCTAGGAACTGAATTATTAACAGGTCTACCTTTCAGGATTATCTCCATGGAGAGATGTTAGTCTAGTTTGCCTGTCATTTTCTAGCTCCTGCTAGCTTGGTTTTTCTTTTCCTATCACCTAATAAGGACACTGACTAGAATGATTTCAGCAATTTCACATTTGTATTATTTACAGATTCCCAGTTGAATGCCATGAACATCTAGCAGGTGATGGTTTTTTGAATTGTTTCATCCATATGTAATTCTTAATTCATCCTTTCTTTGAACAGTCGATACCATGTTGATGTTACAGTCATCGACATTTATTTACTGAAGACCAGTGAAAAGTTTCATTCTATTTCTCTCTATTCTTCCTCTCTCTTCCTTAAGAATTTCTTTGTGTTCTTACCCTTCAACTTCTTCCATGGCTAATTTCTAAAGAAATGTCTGATTGTGCCTGATGCCTCTAATTAAAGGGGAATCACTGCTCAAACTGAAGTCAAGCTACATGTTATACAGGACAACTGGGACAGGCCAAGAATGGGAAAGGAAGAGACCCTATAATCTACATTGGTACAGCCGGTTTTTCTAGGACTTTGGGGATTTTGCAGTTTCCATCTGCTTCAGTGTTGCAAGAAATTGTGCCACCCATTTGCAGTATTCATGACCACATGATTCAAGGACTACAAATGATGATTAAAGGACTTCATGCCCCTTCCATTTTTGGGGACTGGAATTGGGAGTAGTCTGTAGCCTTTGCATTAATTTCTTGATCAAATTTGCTTCTCTAATGTTAATATTAGTTGCAATCTGCCTTTCCTTTTAAGATGGCCTCATACGTTACTGAGGGTTCTGGAATGCGGGAATCCACATCTGTGGCTCACATTGTGCACTTTCTCTGAGCAACCCGACAGTCACACCAACAGTCAAGTAGAGGTTTAGGCTGCTCCTCCTTCCTCCAAAAAATTCAGAAGCCCCAACAACTTTGCTAGAGAAAAATTGCACTACTTCCAGCTGCTTTGTTTCAGTGTATTTAAAATTATTTATTGTTATTTTCAATGAGGTTCACTGGTCTCCAATTTCTTTTAAAAATAATTCAGCATTTGGCCATAGTGAGAGGGAAAAACAGAGCAGCAAGATGTTCTGTCTTTCCCACAATTTAATCTGTTCAAGTGTTGTGCTACACCAGAATACATCATGGCTTAATGTTCTTTCCTGGCCAGATTAGGGAGCTGTAATGGGGCATAAGAGAATCCGTGGAACAGCTGTAATTGTTCACGGCTCTCAATAAGCCTCCCAAGGAATCTTCCGTTGTCTCACAGACATTGATTTCTGCACGGTTTTGTTTCCTTTCCACAGGCAAAGTCAGCTGGAGGAGATCCTGGTTTTGGCCAGGCAGTTCCACGAGACATCAGAGCCCACCTCTGAGTGGTTGTCGGTGACTGAAAAGAAACTGGCCAATTCCGAGCCCATTGGGACTCAGACGGCCAAAATCCAGCAGCAGATTGCACGGCACAAGGTGGGCAAGTTGTTGCCAAGCAGTTCAGAAATGGGTAGGAGGGCACCAGGCACCGATTATCTTGCTGTGAAGGGAGATTTCGGAGTGAGACTCCTGGGGGGTTGTGAGAATAAACAATGCAGGGGTTAAGGACAAAATGCCAAGGTGGCCCTTTGGTGTTTGGAGGCTCCCTCTGAAGTGAATGTGGGTGGGTCATCCCCTAATAGGGTCCAGTGGAGAGTCTCGTGGCCTAACAATATCCAGGCGAGGTGGACCGTCTGCCCTTAGTATTCTGGATGTCTGCTCAGAAGCATCAGAGGTTCCAGGGCAGCTTTTCTTCAAGGGTCTCCTGTAGAATCTGGCTGTTCAGTGGGCACTGGTAGAAATAATACAGTCAAGTTCTCTTCTCTCCTGCCATCATGTAATCTGAGCAAGATTTCACTGGAGTGGTTTGATACGTCTCTCTCAATGGTGGCTGGGGCTTCCCAGAGAAGTCACAGCATTTTCCTTTGATCCATGCCACCTTTTCCACAGGGCCATCAAGCAGTGGCTATGGCTCCATTCGGTCAACGGATGCATGGTCAGGGACGGGGCACCGAAGAGGGCAGTCAAAGCCCTCGGGAGAACCATGGGGGATCAACGCAGTCATTCCCCTCGGAGGTGGTTTCATTTTCCAGGCATGTGTGGCCCATTCATCGGACCCATCAGCCCTACTGTAACCCAGGCCCCGTCTTTCCCTTACGCCCAACTGGGCTGGCACATCTGTATCCAAGGGGCAGGATCTGTGCTTGGGCCGGCACGTTGCCTTGGCTGGCTCCTTGACAAAGATTGTGGAGCATTGGGGCTGTTGCTTTGGGTGTGGCTGTTCCTCCTCTTAGCTTCAGTTTGAAGAAAACCCCTCAGGTGCCTTCCATTCTCCCCTCTCAAGCCAGGTGTGGTGTCCTCTGGCCAGAGCCTTTTTTCTTCTTTCCTAAGAAGCAGTGATAAACATTCCCATAGATGCGTGCCTATTATTTCTTAGCATTAAAGACACACTGGGTTGTGATAGCTTATTCAACAAACCCTGGCTTAAAATGCTGAATTATTACCATTTGCAAAACAAGTTAGTAATTGTCTTGTTGGAGCACTTAAAACAAGTTGTAGTATATCTCAATACTGTCTCAATACTTATATGGATCCCGGAAAAAGAAAATCCTTTTTTTAAATTTTTGTTGTTATAGTTCTTTATTTGAAACTGTTATTTTAGTAAATGATAGTTTTGCATTTACACAATTTTCAGTCATATTCACCATTTTAGTTGTGTTTTAATTTTCCCACTTTGTGTTTTCCATTTTCAACCATGCATTTCTGTTTGCTTGTTTTTTGTTTCCTCTTTTGTTCTTTCCCTTAAACTCCTGGATTTCCAGGCGCTAGAGGAGGAGATAGACAATCAGGCCACGTCGGTGACTCAGGTGGTCAGCATTGGCCATTCCCTGGCCTTGCTGAGCTGCCGTGCTGAGCAGGCCTCCCTGGCCGAGAAGCTTGACCTGCTTGAGTCCCGGTACGCTGAGGTTTCTGACCGATGTGGCCGGAAGGCTGTCCTCCTCGAACAGGCTTTGTCCAATGCCCGGCTCTTTGGGGAGGATGAAGTGGAGGTGCTGAACTGGTTGGCTGAGGTTGAAGACAGGCTCAGCTTGGTGTCCGTCAAGGATTACAGACGAGAGGTCCTGCAGCAGCAACATTCTGGCCAGCTGGTATTAATCCGTCTTTCCCCATCTTTCATGATTGTGTTTATTTTGCTTCCCTGTTCCTGTTGATTTGAACCATTTCATTTTGATCTTCACCAAATCAAAGCTAGGGATGGAGGGAGGGAGTCCCTGAGGGCACAGCTTTCAGGATGCGGCCATGTGCTCCCGTGGGCACAGTCTTCTTGCAAAAAAAGGGCACAGTTTAGTGCATCAGCAAGTGTGTTTCATGGATGGTTTGGTTCTGGTATCTCTATTTAAAGAAGAACAACGCAGCAGGATTATTTTTCTCCCCGTGGAGAACCTCTAACCTGACCCTTCTGAAGCTCCTTCCTCTCACAGTCCGGCCTCTCGCTGAAGGACAGTTTTGGACCTAGTGCAGCCCTCCTCCTTTGCAGCCTGCGGTTTCTGCAGAGAAGTAAAAGGAGGCCTGCAATGGGGAGGGGGGGTGACGTGACCCCAGTGACCGTTGCCTTGAGGGAGGACCAGAAAAGAAGCTGGAAGATATGACAATCCACAGGGAACAACCTTCTGTGCATTACAGGTGGAAGGTGTGCTGTGAGAATAGGTGCCCTCTGGGGAATTCAGGTGGATTTGTTAACTGGAACAGCAGTAAGCCAAGGACTGATTGTGTTAGCAGGGTGGATAGTGGAAGAATCCAACAGGCTTTCTTTCTCAAGCTCTGGCCTTTGTTTCAGATTGACAAGATGGTTGTAGCTTTGGGGTCAAGGAGAGGTCCGAGAATTCCCTTCCGCCCTACTCAAGCCTTCAGTCTTGGGCTGCTCTCTGATGACTCCCCTGTTTGGCATAGGAGGCGAGCATTTTTCCTTGTTGCCAAGGCATCTCTCTTACCCTGGCTGCACCTGCTGCTCAGAGCCCTCACACGCACACACACACAGACACACATTTAGGCACTAGCCTCTTGGGCAGACTTCATCTACCACAATGTGTGCTGATTCAATTTGCTTGCTCTGATGGGAGTTGTTTTATTTTATTTATGTACTAAAGGAACAAAAGATCTTCCCATTGAGATCCGGACCCTTACTACCCTTCCGGCCTTCCACAAAGCGACCAAGACCTGGCTGTTCCGGCAGGCCTGGGGCTGTTGATGTATCCAGCCCCATCCTAAGTTATGAATGTTGTTGAACTTTTAATGTTGTTTTTTTATTATTTTGTATGTCCCCCCCCCCTTTTTTTTTAACCTGTAAGCCGCCCTGAGTCTCTTTGAGAGTGGGCAGCATACAAACAAACAAACAAACTAAATAAATAAATAAATAAATAAATAAATAAATAAATAAATAAATATAACAGAACAGGGATAAGCAGCATTTAAAAACCCCAAATCACACAAAAGCCTAAGATCTTTTCCAGGGACGTTTCTGAGCGTGGGTTTTTCCCCTCCCCCACCTAGGCTTTGAATGATGAGATTGTGAACCGCAAGAAGCACGTTGACCAGGCCATCAAGAATGGGCAGGCCCTCCTGAAACAAACCACAGGTAGGAGAGGAAAAGATGCCAGGCAATGGCTGCCCCTGCTTGCGCCAATCCACACCTGCACCCACACACTCTTTCGCCCAGAGATTCCACAATTGGGACTGTGTAGGATACATGTGCCCGTGGAAAACTCTGCCAAATACAGAAACCAAGTCCAAAATTCTGCACGGGTGGGATGGTCAACAAGTCAGACCTTGCATGGGCAGCTTGAGGACACCCAACTATACCCTGGATCCCCATTCCATGACTTTTTCAAGCCAAACCCTTGGTGATCCTCTGCAGGTGAAGAGGTGCTGCTCATCCAAGAGAAACTGGATGGCATCAAGACCCGCTACTCGGATATCACCGCTGCCAGCTCAAAGGCTCTCCGCACACTGGAGCAGGCACGGCAGCTGGCCACCAAGTTCCAGTCAACACATGAAGAGTTGACAGGCTGGATGGGTCAGGTGGAAGAGGAGCTGATGTATGGGGGAGGACATTCCCCCACCGGCGAACAGATCCCTCAATTCCAGCAGAGGCAGAAGGTAAGGGGCTTTCGGAGAAGCCAGGGTCCAGGCCTGATCAGAGAAGGCCCTCTTCTCCCGGCCTCTGCTTCTCAGTGAGAAGCTTCCCTCGTTCTCAGCAGGAAGAGTGGTCACAGCTCTCTCCTTGCGTTTGGTCACTTGACAAAGCCACGCCTGGCCCAGCTGGAGGGCACAATCTCAGAAAGTGGCCTTCTCTCCCCCTAGGAACTAAAGAAGGAGGTGATGGAACATCAGATTATTCTGGACACAGTGAACGAAGTCAGCCATGCCCTCCTTGAACTGGTCCCTTGGCGAGCCCGTGAAGGACTAGATAAGCTGGTTTCAGACACCAACGAGCGGTATAAAGCCACCAGTGACACCATCAACCAGCGGGTGGCAGAGATAGATGCTGCCATCCAAAGATCTCAGCAGGTAGGCTGGCAGTTCCTTGTAAACCATTGTCAATGCAGACACAGCTCTCAGGGAGGTTTGTCTAAGCATGAGACATGTGCAGGTTGTTTTGCCCCACCCCTAAGCCAGTCCTTAGAAATCCTGCATGAATGCAGAATCCTAGCACCAGGGACTAAAAGACGTTATCCCCATGTTTCCTGGGTACAAATGCAGAGTTTTTTAACTCCATCCTGGCTTCTGGTTTCTTGCGCCTGACAGGGGACCTTTTAGGGTAGGGGCATTCTTTGAGGGCCATGCAGTGTGTTGAGGACCTTGTTCCACACCTGAACAGGATTTGTCCTTTGAGGGAGGTTTTTGTGGTTTGAGGGATAAAATGCATGGAGCAAAACATTTGGGTCTCACTCAATCTGGGAACAGCAGAACAACTGCTGGGGAGAGGCAAGTAGCTTCCAGTCTCTCCCAAAAAGAAAGTTTAGCTTCTTATGGACAGATCATTCTGTGATTATGGACTCCCCCCCCCCCCCCCGCCTGCTTTTTCTGCCTTCATAAAATTTGCCCCAGCTCCTTTCCTTGCATGCAGCACCAGGCTGGAATTCACTTGCTCTTCTGCAGCACTGCCTTTGCTAGTTCCCTGTGCTCCAGATGTCTGGCCCAGAATATTTAAGAGGTCCCAGGTGGGGAAGGTGTATGCAGAGAGAAGTAAATGCCCTCTACCGATCAGTGGTTCCTTAACAACTCCATGCCCTTTCCTGAGCTTGCAAGAAGCCAGGGGTTTCCTCGAAATGCATGTTGGCATTCAGGATACATTGAAGAGGTGGCGAAGGGCCAGTCACCATTGCTGCCACCTGAACTCAAAGAGGTATTTTCCTGAGGCTTCTAGGGAGGCCTCCAGAGTGATACCACTCCTTTAAGGAAAGGCTGGCAGGTAAAAGGAGGGTGAAGCACTCAATCTGAAGCACCTTTGCTTTCCCCAGTCCAGATCCTGTGTACTTTGTGTATGCAGCTTTGTTGATACTGCACCATCTCTGCTTTTGCCAGCTAGTTTCCCCAGCTAACTTGGCTGTGCTCTCTTCTCTGACAGTACGAGCAGGCAGCCGATGCGGAACTCGCCTGGGTTGCTGAGACCAGACGGAAGCTGTTGGCGCTTGGTCCAGTTAGGTTGGAGCAGGACCAGACCACTGCCCAGCTGCAGGTGCAGAAGGTACGCAATGGGGCAAAGATGGCAGAGATTTTGGAGTAGCCAGATTGGAAGATGGAGCAGAATTAGGCTGGCTGAATGGGGAAAGGGAGCTAGAGACTATTAGGTAAGCTCCCCATTGGGAGAGCGAGTGCATTCAGAGAAGCGCTGTGAGAGTTGTGTTGGAGAACA